GTCTGTCCAGCGTCCTCCCCCGCCACCTGATCCAACTCACCACCAGGTGGTGATCAGTTGACAGCTCAGCCCCTCTCTTTACCCGAGTGTCCAGAACATATGGCCGCAGGTCTGCTGATACGATTACAAAATCGATCATCGACCTACGGCCTAGAGCGTCCTGGTGCCACGTGCACTTATGGACACTCTTATGTTCGAACAGGGTGTTCGTTATGGCCAAACTGTGGTTAGCACAGAAGTCCAATAACAGAGCACCGCTCGGGTTCAGATCAGGGAGGCCGTTCCTCCCAATCACGCCCCTCCAGGTCTCGCTGTCGTTACCCACGTGAGCATTGAAGTCTCCCAGCAGGACAACAGAGTCTCCAGGTGGAGCACCCTCCAGCACCCCCCCCCCCAGGGACTCTAGAAGGCTGGGTACTCTGAACTGCCACTCGGCGCATAAGCGCAGATGACAGTCAGGACCCGTTCCCCGACCCTAAGGCGCAGGGAACAAACCCTCTTGTCCACCGGGAAAAACCCCAACGTACCGGCAGCAAGCCGAGGGATATTAGGATACCCACCCCAGCCCGCCGCCTCTCACCAGGGGCAACTCCAGACTGAGACAGAGTCCAGCCCCTCTCCAGGAGACTGGTTCCAGAGCCCAAGCCATGTGTAGAGGTGAGCCCGACTATATCTAGCCGGTACCTCTCAACCTCGCGCACTAACTCAGGCTCCTTCCCCACCAGAGAGGTGACATTCCATGTCCCTATTGCCAGTCTTGGCAGCCGGGGTCAGTCCGCCAGGGCCTCCGCTCCTGGCCGCCACCCGACACACAATGCACCCGACCCCTATGGCGCCTCCTGCGGTGGTGGGCCTGCGGGAGGATGGGCCCATGTCTCCTCTTCGGGCTGTGCCCGGCCGGGCCCCATGGACTAAGGCCCGGCCACCAGACGCTCGCCCTCGGCACCCTCCCCGGGCCTGGCTCCAGGGCGGGCCCCGGTAACCCTATCCCGGGCAGGTAAACTGTTCCCTCGGTGTCCTTTTCATAAGGGTCTTATGAATCGCTCTTTGTCTGGTCCCTCACCCAGGGCCAATTTGCCATGGGAGACCCTACCAGGGGGCAAAAGCCCCCAGACAACATAGCCCCTGGGATCCCAGGGACACACAAACCCCTCCACCACGATAAGTAGCGATTCAAAATATGAAAAAAAAAGAAACATGCACATTATCTGTCATATGGGCCTGCATGAATAAACTTAATGAATCCTTTATCATCTGCAACCGAAAATAGTGTGGAGATTACTATACCTTTCTAAGTGACGTTGTTTCCTTGGCTCTCTTTCTCTCTCCCCCTCTGGCTCTGTTCCTGTGTTACTGAGTGTAATTACTGCCCCTCCCCCCTCTGCCAAGCGTAAAGCACAAGCTCGCTTGCTGAGTGAAGCAGAAAAAAAGTGCGAGAGAGAGGCTGAGAGAAAGAAAAAAAAAAACCCACGTGACGGCTCGCGATAAGGAGCCGGCTCGCGTCGTTCACGTCAAAGACCCGGCTCTAAGAGCCATTTCATTCGCGAACGACCCATCACTAGAAGCCACAGGAACAACCAACATAAGCATAAGCATAAGTAACCAGTAAATAATACATATTGAATGTTGCTGAGCTGCATACAGTACTAGTACTGCATGATATGTTTAGAGGCAGCAGCAACCAAGATACTGTCTGTCTGTGACTACCTGGTGTACACTGTGTGCACACCTGTCTGTTGTGTGAGCGTGCTTGTATTCTTCAGGTTCTCCATGTAAGTGTCTACTACATGAGAAAACACTGTGCACATTACATAATACACACTTTACATTTATCACAATATTTATGATGTGGGCTGTAAAAGAATGTCACTAAAACAAGACAATTAATATTCTAGATCACTAAAATCCATCTAACGTCAACTCCATGTTCACACTGGACAAAAAGTTGGGAGATTTCCCAAACCATTTTTGGGTGGCTCAGGACGACGGTGGCTCAGGGGGTGGAATCACATCTGTAATCGGAAGGTTGCCGGTTCGAGCCCCGGCTTGGACGGTCTCGGTCGTTGGTCCTTGGGCAAGACACTTACCCTACTGCCTACTGGTTGGCCAGAGGGCCAATGACGCGATATGGCAGCCTTGCTCTGTCAGCATGCCCCAGGGCAGCTGTGGCTACAACTGTAGCTGCCTCCACCAGTGTTGAATGTGAAGTGAATGAATAGTGGCATTGAAAAGCGCTTTGGGTGCCTTGAAAAGCGCTATATAAATCCAATCCATTATATTATTACTTGTGCACGACTGCCCAGGGAGGCCAACTACAAAGGCTATCTCACCATTCACCTAGAGCTGAGGAGTGCCCTGAATGGGGGTCACCCAGCAACCATGGTGCAGTTGCCATGGTTTGCCGCAGCAACAAGCCTGCAGGCTCCACCGGCAGCCAGCTACGCCAGACCAGACTGAGCCCCGGGCCCAGAGAACCAAGATTCAAGAGACATCCATAAGGATTTAAAACAAACAATAATATATTACACTAAATAATGTTCCTGATATATCAGAGACAAAACTTTACACACTTAAGATGAAGTTCTCTTATAAACAGTGCAGAGCAGATAACGTCTTGACCGATATCTTGTGCTTGAACTAATTGTTCATGATTCCTCCACAGAGTGGACCAGGAGAGCTAGAGGTTCCCAGTGGTCAAGTCTCCCAGCAGACTGAAACACACCTGGACTCCATATTTATGGTCTGTACATGTACAACTACTTTCACATCTATTCTGTTTCAGCACCTCCATGCTGCTCTTTGTAGACCAGTGGATTGTCAGTGTGTCCAATATGGATCTGATGTTTGGCTCATGATTTCAGTCTGATTGGGTTATTCATAAAATATTCTGTTCCAGCTGCTGGAGAAAGACATCATCACTTTGTGAAGAACGAGCTGAAGAAGATTCAAACGGTTCTGAGTTCAGATTACCCAGAAGGCTTAGAGAGTCAGGTGGAGGATGATGAGCAGATGAGCAAAAGCAGAGTGTCAGTTGTGAAGATCACACTGGACTTCCTGAGGAGAAGAAGCAGGGGAAGCTGGCTGACTGTCTGCATAGAAGTAAGAGGATTTATCTAAAGAGTTAAACTGCTGGTGATAAATGGAGTATTTATTATGGCTCAGCAGAGGGACAGACATATTTTCAAGGGTAACGCTTTAGAAAAAAAACTGTAATTTGCACTACTTAAAAAATGATTCATCTTTTATTTTATTTATTTAGAACATCTTGTTACAGTTTGTCCACGTAAACTTAAATCTAAGCTGAAGAAGAAGTTCCAGTGTGTGTTTGAGGGGATCGCTAAAGCAGGAAACCCAACCCTGCTGAATCAGATCGACACAGAGCTCTGTATCACAGAGGGAGGGACTGCAGAGGTCAATGATGAACATGAGGTCAGACAGATTGAAACCGCATCCAGGAAACCAGACAGACCAGAAAAAAACAATCCGACGAGAAGACATCTTTAAAGCCTCACCTGGAAGAGATGAACCAATCAGAACAGTGCTGACAAAGGGAGTGGCTGGCATTGGGAAAACACTGTTGACACAGAAATTCACTCTGGACTGGGCTAAAGACAAAGCAACCAGGACATCCAGTTTATATTTCCATTCACTTTCAGAGAGCTGAATGTGCTGAAAGAGGAAAAGTTCAGCTTGGTGGAACTTGTTCATCACTTCTTTACTGAAACCAAAAAAGCAGGAATCTGCAGCTTTGAAGACTTCCAGGTTGTGTTTATCTTTGATGGTCTGGATGAGTGTCGACTTCCTCTGGACTTCCACAAAAATGAAATCCTAACTGACCCTAGAAAGCCCACCTCAGTGGATGTGCTGCTGACAAACCTCATCAGGGGAAACTGGTTCCCACTGCTCGCATCTGGATAACCACACGACCTGCAGCAGCCAATCAGATCCCTCCACAATATGTTGATATGGTGACAGAGATCCGAGGGTTCACTGATCCACAAATGGAGGAGTACTTCAGGGAGAGATTCAGAGATGAGGAGAAGGGCAGCAGAATCATCTCCCACATCAAGACATCACAAAGCCTCTACATCATGTGCCACATCCCAGTCTTCTGCTGGATCACTGCTACAGTTCTGGAGGATGTGCTGCAAACCAGAGAGGGAAGACAGCTACCCAAGACCCTGACTGAGATGTACATCAACTTCCTGGTGGTTCAGGCCAAAATGAGGAAGTTAAAGTATGATCCACACTTGAGTCCAGAGAGCACAAGGATGATTGAGTCTCTGGGAAAACTGGCTTTTGATCAGCTGCAGAAAGCAAACCTGATCTTCTATGAATCAGACCTGACAGAGTGTGGCATTGATATCATAGCAGCCTCAATTTACTCAGGAGTACTCACACAGATCTTTAGAAGGAGAGAGTACTGTACCAGGAGAAGGTGTTCTGCTTCACCCATCTGAGTGTTCAGGAGTTTCTGGCTGCTCTTTATGTCCATCTGACCTTCATCAACTCTGGGGTCAATGTGCTAGAACAACAACAAACAACCTCCCAGAAGTTCAAAAGAAGTCAATCCCTCGACATGCTAATTTTTTTCCAGAGTGCTGTGGATAAGGCCATAACGAGCCCAAATGGACACCTGGACTTGTTCCTCTGCTTCTTCCTGGGTCTTTCACTGCAGACCAATCAGACTCTCCTGAGAGGTCTTCTAACACAGACAGGAAGTAGCTCAAAGACCAATCAGGAAACAGTCCAGTACATAAAGGAGAAGCTCAGTGAGAATTTGTCTGCAGAGAAAAGCATCAATCTGTTCCACTGTCTGAATGAACTGAAGGATCGTTCTCTAGTGGAGGAGATCCAGCAGTCTCTGAGATCAGGAAGTTTCTCCACAGATGAGCTGTCTCCTGCTCAGTGGTCAGCTCTGGTCTTCATCTTACTGTCATCAGAAAAAGATCTGGATGTGTTTGACTTGAAGAAATTCTCTGCTTCAGATGAGTCTCTTCTGAGGCTGCTGCCAGTGGTCAAAGCCTCCAACAAAGCATTGTAAGTAAATATGTGGCCATGCATTCTTTAAACAATAAATGTTGATCCTATTTAACAAAAAGTATCTCAGTAACTCAGTCAAGTATAAGACTGTTTTAATATTTGACTAAATATATATTATATTATTATAATAATATAATATTAATATTAGTAATATATATATATATATATATATATTATATATATATATATATATGTGTGTGTGTGTGGTGTGTGTGTGATATAATATATATCACAAATTTAACTGCATTGTTTTTTCTAACTTTAACTGTATTTATTTTTAGTTAATCATTAATTGTAGTGTACACTGACACATTCGATTTTCTTGCACTCTGTATATTTTCAGGTCAGATCAACATATAAAAAACATATTAAATCAAATCCATTACATATGTGTGTGTGTGGTGTGTGTGTGTGTGTGTGTGTGTGTGTGTGTGTGTGTGTGTGTTTCAGACTTAGCACCTGTAACCTCTCACAGAGAAGCTGTGAAGCTCTGTCCTCAGCTCTCAGCTCCCAGTCCTGTAGACTGAGAGAGTTGGACCTCAGTAACAACAACCTACAAGATTCAGGAGTGAAGCTTCTATCTGCTGGAGTGGAGAGTGCACATTGTACACTGGAAACTCTGAGGTCAGATCAAATAATATTTATTTTTCATCAAATAACATATTTAATCAATTAAAACATTTTGCCACTAAAGGGAGGTATTATTTATTTGTTCTTGCATCTTAGTATTTTTCATCATTTTCAAATCACAGTAAATTGACACATTTCTGGTGTTTAATATAAGGAAATAGCAATCCCACCTTGTCCTGGAGCATAAGAGACATTACCAGATCAAGTAACTCATCACTGTACAATCAATATACTGTAATTTCAGCTTGTGTGTGTGTGCGTGTGTGTGTGTGTGTGTGTGTGTGTGTGTGTGTGTGTGTGTGTGTGTGTGTGTGTTTTCTTGATTTCTAGACTATATGGGTGTTTCCTCTCTGAGAGAAGCTGTGAATCTCTGTCCTCAGTTCTCAGCTCCCAATCCTCTAGCCTTAGGGATCTGGGCCTGAGTAACAACAACCTACAAGATTCAGGAGTGAAGCTTCTGTCTGCTGGAGTGAAAAGTCCACATTGTAAACTGGCAGCTCTGAGGTCAGATCAAGGATTCTTATTTATGTCAAATGAGATAATTAACCAATTAAACTTTTAGCTAATAAAGGTCAGTTACATGCATTTGTTATTGTAGTGTATCATTTCTCATGATTTGTAAATGACAGTCAATTTCTGATGTTTAAAATCAGACAATAGCAATTCCAACCAGTCCTTGAGGAACATTAAATATTGCCAGATATAGTCACTTATAACTACACCATCAATGCATTTTAATTTCAGTGTTGTTGTTTTGTGTTTTTATTAATTTATTATTTTGTCTTTGTGTTGATTATTTTTCAGACTTAGCACCTGTAACCTCTCACAGAGAAGCTGTGAAGCTCTGTCCTCAGCTCTCAGCTCCCAGTCCTGTAGACTGAGAGAGTTGGACCTCAGTAACAACAACCTACAAGATTCAGGAGTGAAGCTTCTATCTGCTGGAGTGGAGAGCGCACATTGTACACTGGAAACTCTGAGGTCAGATCAAATAATATTTTTTTACATCAAATAACATATTTAATCAATTAAAACCTTTTGCCACTAAAGGGAGGTATTATTTATTTGTTCTTGCATCTTAGTATTTTTCATCATTTTCAAATCACAGTAAATTTGATATAGTTGACCACAACATATTACTCAAACGACTGGAGAACTGGGCAGGTCTTTCAGGAACTGTACTAAACTGGTTCAAAACATACTTAGAAAACAGGAAATACTTTGTATCAATAGGTAACTAGCCGATTGGAGCAGGCACGCTCTGTTTTGCGTAACTATTTTTAAATCCCGGTAGCACTGCAACCACGTAAGCTAGCGCAAACATTTTTTTTGCCTATGAAACCGGAGGACTTGTACTTACATCTTATGCCATCAGCTTGTCCTAGGTCACGGTTTCCTTCCACATAAAGCTTTGCAAAAACTGCATAAAAAGCGCTTGCAGGAACAAAAACATAATATTCCAGAAACACGCTTTGCCGATCCGATCAGCTGTTCATAACACTTCCTACGTTGGAATAGACGTCAGCGCGAACTTTTGCATTTCCACCATTACCTGCCCGAAACCGGAAGTGACGTCATTTTCGCGGAAATGTAGTCTTTTTTACCATCAGGGCCTTATGAGCCTATACTGGTGTTTTTAAAAGTTATCTTTGACTTTATGACTTTCTGTGTCGTTTCTGGGATGCTTAGGACTCATATTGCACTGCTGGAAATAGTTTATTTTGATGCATATGCTGCCTTTTTGCAAATTTGCAGTATAATATTTATTTTCGTTTTTCCTGCAGTGTATAAAAATTGGTGTATTTCAAAAATAAAACTATGAAGACACTCAAAATAAATTTCCTGTGGTGGGAAACTATTTTGTGCAACTTTTTTGTATTTACAGTTTTGAGGGATAAGCCTCTTAAATTTCTCTAACTACAAATATATGTTAAAAAAGCAAAAACGATTTTCAATTTTTTGTAGTTTATTGCACTTTTTTGCAATTTATGTAATTACTATGCACTTAATGAATACATATTATTAAAATCTGGGCTATAATGGTTGTATTGATGTATAGCAACTTGAAATGCTCCCAAAAATGGCTCCACAGCATGTAAAATATAATATAAGCTCTGGCGGCCTTGGCTCTATGGTAGGTCTTAAAGGGTTAAGACAATAACAAAGTCAGCTTACTATCACCTCAAGAATATTTCAAGGATAAAAGATCTGATGTCTCAACAGGACCTGGAAAAACTAGTCCATGCATTCATCTTTAGTAGGCTTGATTACTGTAACAGCATCTTTACAGGTCTACCTAAAAAATCAGTCAGACAACTACAGCTCATTCAGAACTCTGCTGCTCGAGTCCTCACTAAGACCAAAAAAGTGGACCACATCAGTCCAGCTCTGAGGTCTTTACACTGGCTGCCTGTCTGTCAGAGGATAGACTTTAAAGTTCTGATGCTGGTCTATAAAGCTCTGAATGGTTTAGGACCAAAATACATCAGTGACCTCCTGACCCAGCATGAACCTTCCAGATCCCTCAGGTCATCTGGATCTGGTCTTTTATCAGTTCCCAGAGTCAGAACCAGACACGGAGAAGCTGCATTCAGCTTTTATGCTCCTTATATCTGGAACAAACTCCCAGAAAGCCTCAGATCAGCTGAAACACTCAGTTTATTTAAATCCAGGTTGAAGACTCACCTATTCTCAGCTGCATTTGAATAAACACCAAATCCACACTTTTAAGATTAAATTTCAAAACTTACATTTAACTACTGATTTTATCCATTGTTCTGATTGTATCTGTTTTGATTTTATATACTGTTTTGTTTGTTTGTTAATTAGTTTGTTTGTTTGCTTGTTTTAATCAATTTTAAATCATACTTTTTATTTGTTTTTGTTTCTAATGTCTCTGTAAAGCACTTTGAATCACCTTGTTGTTGAATTGTGCTATACAAATAAACTTGCCTTGCCTTGCCTAAATTGACACATTTCTGGTGTTTAATATAAGGAAATAGCAAACCCACCTTGTCCTGGAGCATAAGAGACATTACCAGATCAAGTAACTCATCACTGTACAATCAATATACTGTAATTTCAGCTTGTGTGTGTGTGTTGTGTGTGTGTGTGTGTGTGTGTGGTTCTGCTTTCTAGACTATATGGGTGTTTCCTCTCTGAGAGAAGCTGTGAATCTCT